TTATTTTACATTCTTTATTATTTACGATAAACAAACAGAATTCAGGAAACGGGAATTATAATCCATAAATGTACATTATTGGCAATGCAAAATTTTAAGTTATAAAGCATCGTTATTGATTATCGATGCATATTTGCTGCCGAGTTAACAGCGGCTATTATTGTGTTATTTTTCATGAAGCGTATTGCACGCGAAAATTAAAATGTATTCACTCACTACGTGCAACGACATGCGAGATTTTTTTCGGGAATGCAGAAACGACAGGATAATAAAATCAGGAAACAGCAATGTTTTTTGGACAGATAGCGGTATCGAGCCATCAGAGCGATAAGCCATCTCGTTCCTCCATTAAATTCTACTCGTGCGAGTCACAAGAATTTATTTCTACTATTTCAAGTACTGTTCGGTCGATTTGTTTTTGTTTAACAGCAATACCAACGATTATCGATTTCTGTATGCGTCATCGCACTCAATACCCAACGCTGTTTCACGCTATCCTGATATTTGTTATTGTTGCCGGGATTGCAATTCTGTTGAAAATTAGCTGCGATTGCATTAATTCACCCACCATCGTACACAAATATAATCGGCATGCACACACAATTACAAATACATTTTTATTAATTCTTTCAAGAACGTTACTTGTGCACTTTGCGTTTCCTTCTATTCGTTTGTGATTTTATATTCAATTTAGATTGAAAAATACGCAAAATAAGAAACGGTTTTAATAAACCACGAGACATTTGTCTTATTTTGTCGCTGATCTTGTTGTTTCAAATCTACATCTATTGAACATTTCAACGAGTCGTTTCCGCGACAAGAAGCGTAATTTCGTCGATCTTTGCGATCAGACCTAACGACCACCTAAGTGTTTCTCGATTTCTCCATTTCTCCCTAAAGCAGTATTTGTTACTATGACCTGAAATGCCCGCTCCCTTGAGCTCGATATCGCTTAACGCTATTTTTCTAGATCGTTCGCATTTCGCGCAACGCGACTTTTACATTGCACGCAAAATGAACGGATGAAAATCGCGGTATTAACTTTTTACAAAAAAAAATCATCCCGTTTGTTATTTACTAATCCATTTTATTTATATTTTGTTTAATGCAACGAAACTCGATTGTATTAACAAAATACAGAAAATTAATCTCAAAATGGTTTAAAAATACGCCTGCAAGTTTTGACAATACATTTAAAAGTCACTCTGTATGTTTTCGCAAATTTTTTCCCACCTTTTCAACGAGCACATCATATCTGCCTATATCCGGCACAATTTTTGTTACATCCTTTATGTCCATACTTATTCATTGACGGCGATATTGTGCAGTGTATTGATCTTTCAGCAAAGAGATTAATTTTTCCGGATATCGGACGGTCGAGCTGTGTCATCAACACACAAAACATTCGATACATAGGTAACGCTCGGAAATAAAAAATGTTTGGCCCGAACGCGATACCGCGCTGCTAACATCAGAAAATCAATTTCCAGTTCAGCTATCGTCAATAATTCATGGCATCGTGATTCAGCGGAATCCGCGAACTGCCGTCTCACACGTACCGCATATATGACCTTCGCGTACATCGGAGCTAAATTTCTTGTAATGCCTGAATTATGAATTCCGTCAACGTGTATAGAAGTTTGTGGCGTGTATGAGCAGCAATGCGCCGTCGTCATAAATCATCGGCGTAAACCGATGTAAACCGTAAAAACCCGGCGGTATCGGTCTATCTCATTCGAATTACGTATAAGCGCGCAGTTTATCACCGCTATTTCCTATTTTGCCAGCCAAGTAATATGGGCATAATATCTCACAAGTGTAATATATTCTATCTGACTACAATATATTTCCCGGCAGAATATCAAACTTCGCCAAGTGGGGGGGGGGGGGCCGAGACCGCTCGATGGCGGAGGCAAATGAGAGATGAGTCCGTTGCAATGTGCGTATGTATCATATCGACATATCAGTTAAATCTCGTTGCCTTCACGCGGCGGGAAATTCTTCAAACATCCGCGCATTGCTCTACGGTGTTATATAAACACGCGAATAAATACGTCCCAGCAATGTGCGTACAATTTGCGCATTTTATTTAATTTTTGGATCGAAGAGCGCATTTGTGCAAATCATTGAAATGTGTACGTAACAAATGTCTGGCAATGCTGTAAAACGTTATCGCTCGTAGCACGCATTAACACGGGAGTTAAATCGAGCGAAGCATATGCGACATCGCCGTTATTGTCGTTATTTTTAGCTTCGTACAAATGTACACGAGAGGAATGTACGTTGAATAGGGTAATCATTTTTGTAAACTCAATAAAACTCGGCTTGCATTGCACGATATATTTTGGAATTAAATTATCCCATAAAAGTATATAATCGTGCTATTGCATTTCTACCGACGTTTCCAATTCTAACTTCTTATCTATTTAAAAAAATTCATTTCTTTAAGTTATCTCACGAAATAGTCCAATCGCTTATTTGTATTTACATACCGTCTTACTTTTAATCAATTAATCAATTCCGAAATAAAAACATTAATTAATCCCGTCAAGATGAGAAATGGATTGGAATTGTTTCACGTTATCTTATTTAAAACTCGCTCAGAAGTCCATTGAGATACACGCAATTTAAATTAAAGCGAGTATTAAGTGTTTGTCTTAAAAATGACTTTGAACGAGACTGGCGCGATATAAAAGCGCTATAAGTGGAACTGCAATCGTAACATATCTCTGGAAAGTTATTTTGCGGTGAGAATAAAAACTTGAACGACGGCAAACACGAGACAGATATTACAGCGGCGTTTCCCTTTAAAGTCCTCCAGTCGAATTAATGACAGAAGTTTGCCGGAAGTAATAACGGTAGCACGGGTACTTTATTTAGTCTTGATATCGAGCATCGATTGGAGGCTCCATGGACCTCGCTGCCATCAAAATACGAGTAATGCAATACATTAGTCGGACATTCGAGCTTTATTGAGTTTCCGAGCGTTTGAAAACATTCGGAATAAGTAGATAATTTATGTTAAACCAACATTATATCGAGACTTATCGTATGCGATTTAATCGCATACTTATTTCCGCGAAAAATATCGCATATTATTTTACCCGGGTACATATTTAATTTTGATTAATTAATCGCCTGTTAGCCGTTAATTTCGTATTCATCCGTAATTATTAACGATATCTGCACCGCTGGAGAGTAATATAATACCATAAATGTTACACGAAAGTAGATAATTGATACGTTGGTGAAGTGTACTTCGGGCAAACGTTTAATATTAAACTGCATTAGAGTTCACTATTTCAATACGATGTTTTAGTGTGCGCATGTATTAATTGATGATATTGTTTTTGAGAAGATTGACTCGTTGTCAGGAGAGAATTATCCTATTACACAGATTTTATCGCATTAATATAAACTTCAATTGCAATCTGCACTTATTCATGCGCGTCTATTAACACACCTTTCTCTTTTGCTATCTTATTATCCTTTTCTTTATCGAGGAAAAATTTATTAACGCTTTTTAAAAAGTTTTATGAGTAGCAACGTGTCTGTAACGTTACAAGAAATACGATAATGTCCGTTTTTGCGTTGCCCGATTTGGTAATGTTGAATATTTTCTACGTTTGCTACCCTTGAACGAGCGATCCGGATGAGAGGGTCGTTAGCTCGCGTTGGCACGGAAGAGGCTAGACAGGAATCTTATCTACGGATGCTGGGCACCGATCCAGTCTTTCGTCTAGACGAGGGGTCGACCCTAATATATGGTTCGATAAAGTTTTCTTTACTTCCACGCGAACTTATTCAATATTCGTCAGCAAATTTTCGTTTCATTAAAAACTAGAATACTTACTACGAAGATTTATTTTCGGTAGAATGTCGATGTTGTCAATGATTTATATCAATGATTGATACAAAACGCGTTTAAGAATTAAGTAATCGGACAAAATGCAACAATAGTACGCTAAATGTGTAAGGAATTCAATATTTTCATTAGACGATTGGTTGCTAATTTGCTTTTTTAATAACATTGGTTTCTAAATACTTATTCGTGGACTCTTGAATACTTAAAAACGAGTCACAAAGGAGCATAAAGCATGCACAGACGTTGTATCGTAATCTGGCATCACTGTTATTTTATATTTTATAAAATATTTTGTTTGTGATAAAACATTCTGTTTTCCATGTTGTCAGTACTTGATATGCTTTTTATTTCAACGAAATGATTAATTTGATGAAGGTAAATATTGAACTAAATCCTTCACATGTGATTTTTGCTGACTCTCTACAACGTTCAATAACATGCACTTCCGGCAAATGTTAAATGGGATGTATATTTTATATTGATGCACATTAATTGCACATAATTAAATGATATTTATGTATATCGAGAACAACAGGTGTCGCGATATGTTCTATGCGACAAATTAATTGAGAATAATGAATTACCTTGTCGGATGCGCACATTTTGTCATATGTCGAGCATATTGTAACATCAAACCCCAAAGTTTCCAAAACAAGTAGATAACATATTGTTATAACGCGTCGAATCCGGAAGATTGACTTAAACGTTGAAGATAAATCTCTTCGTGCTCTTCCAATATACATGAAGAAAGTCATTTCATGAATAGTCTTCGCTAAAGCTTCCTCTCAAAATAGCTTCTCTCTACGTACGCAGATACTAACACAAAGGAGATCCAAATTTTGCAATGGCAAAACTTTGGTCTATCCCCGTCCTTGTTCTTCGTTCTATCGGCACTTTGATAGGACGAAAGGGGAACGGAAGGTAGAGGCGGTTCGGAATTAAACTTTCGTGTGAAGACAATGGAGACCTATCTTGGTACACACGTTGAAAGAGACTAGCAGGAGCAATTCTCCAGCAATATCTGTAGCAAAGGAGACAGAAAGTGGAAAAGGTGTGGAAGAGGTCGAATAACGTCAATGTTACATCTGTTACTCTTGACTTCTTTCCATTTCCTACAAAGGATATTCGGCGATAAACATATTTTACGAATAGAAAACTGTTCTGTGTTGAAAACTAATTTTTTTTTTGTTAAATTTGGATTGTGTCCGCATAATTTTCGATTTAGATTTTAAATTCAACATATGTTTCTATTCTTTTTTTCTACCGTGCTTTAAAAGTCCTGTTGGAAATCTTATTAGAATAAATTCTGCACAAAATGAGTTAAAGAATACAGTTTCGCCGTCTACTCTCTGTTCTGAGAAGCTTAGTTAACCACAAGCTGTTTAAATGAAATTGTTAATTACGTCGAAGGGAACCATGACTCGATATATTTCCGTGGGAGGATAATCGGCTATAAATTTGTCAAAGAGAAGTTATTTCAAGACAATGCATAAGTGGGGCATCCTACGTGATCGATTAAACGGGTGTACGCGTATAAGAGCAGGCAGATATAAAAGGATAAAAATAACGCTCGCCTTCTTTTATTGCGTTTGAAAGAAAATGAGAAACGTTGTGTAAGAAATGTTTGCACGTAGCTACCGTGTCCCTCGCCTAATAACGGATTCAATTACGAGGGTCTGTGTAGCACTCGAGGTTACCATGATGTACGGCGCAATGTAAAATTTAAAACTGACGCGTACCAAGACTCCTAACCGCCTCATGACTTGTGGTTTCCGTTTCGGCGTTATGGTGGCCATACTAACCGGTCTCGGTCGGAAACGGGACACCTCGTTCTCTCCGGGGAAATGTCTAAAAACGACCTGACGTCGCTCGCCTGCCCGTCTTTTCCTCCGCGTATATATCCGGTGCCCAAACGTTTTCCTACGAAGCTCGCCTTCCGCCCCATGTTAAAAATGCATCTCTGCCTGTATCCGTATAATCTTGACTCATTTAACATAATTCATGAGAGCGAAACGCTCCGCCATACTTTTTGCTCTTCACTCCTTCGCCTTATCTCGCAGCACTAACGTCGCGAAAATAGAGGAGAGCAGGGGATGATTCTCAAATAATTAAAGTATTACTTTGCATCTGTACACAGCGGTGTAACAACAATACGTTAAATACCGTAGACAGCACTCTAGCCTTTATACGTCGGGTCTGTGATCAGTGCCGAGCGGATGTATAACGTGCAATTCGCTTAAAAATTGTATGAGAATGAAAGCAAAGTAGATTGAGTATAAGAGACCGCCGTAAGAGCGACGCACGGTACCCCCGGTGATGTTCAGGTAAATTACGGTGACCACTAGCGAACACAGGAGAAAAGCTAGGCAGCCGGGTGCCATATCGCTGATCCTGATCCTCGTCTGCTGTTCAGGGTCAGTGGCGGCGGCGATGCCGTAGGTCAGCCCGAGTCCCAATAGAGTGTTGAACATTGGCCCGCCGAAGCAAGCCGCATATCCCATGCGTGGAAATCCCCGTCTGGCGATAGCGACATTGGATATGAGATCTGGACAATTGTAATGGAATTGGCTTGTATCAATATTTTCCCGTAAACGCAGGGTTTATGTTACATTATTACATTATATTATTAACAAACGGAACGGAGCGTTAACTTGAAACCTCGAAGTGATATAATTGCGGAAAAGTGTCGCAGCGTCACGATTATTGCGGTTTATGTTACGCCGTTTCTTTCGTCGCACTTGGAAAGCCAATTTAAGAAAACGTGATCTTGTCGACTGTACTTTTGGTTACCGCGCAAGTTATCTTCAACTACTTTAAACAAAACATTTTTCACGCGGCTCACCTCCGATGCTGTTTCCCCACGCAAGAAAAGTGATGCCTAGCATAGCGTCAGATATACTGCACGCGTATCCTATGCATTGGAGTACCGCCATGACCTCCCCAGCCACCAGATAAACCGTCAACATAGCAGCCAAAAATCCCAAAAAGGCGAAGACCTGGAATATTTAATGCCGCCGGTTCGTTTATTGATTAACTGGTTCCTTTCATATCCTTGAATGTCACAATAAGCGCTCGCGAAACTCCGACCATCCGCGCGAGAGGAAAGAAGAGAAAAGTACTCACATTATGGAACTTTGGTACACGATCCACGTGCGTCGTTAGAAATACAATTACGCCAATTACGGTACCGGCAACGAGGAATATCGGCATTACCGGCAAATTGCCAAAAGTCGTTTGCCAAACTGCAATAAAACAGTTAAAATGAAATTGAAGTCGAGCAGGACCAACTGTTATGCCGTCAAGTGTCGATACGACGATTATTGACCGCCCGTCTGAATTTTCCATCTATCCATTGTTTTGCAATAAAGAATACGTTGCAATGCTTCTGTAATATCGTGAGAAATTATTCGCGAGAAAAGAACGCGCGGAGGAAATATCAAAAAGTAATAAGCGAAAAAAAATTTAATTCCGGCTATACTTTTTACCTTTCATTTTGAATAACTTTCTTACAAATGTATAATTGTCAAGTTGAAACTTCTTAAAGCTGCGTCAAGTTCAATGGCTAAATGTATCTTGAATAGCTTATAATTGACGCACGCGATTTACAATTGTATCGAGTAGAAAATGAAATGGAACTAACCATTTAATAGAAATAGCGCTATCGTAGGTGTCACGCATAACTGGAAACAATTTAATAGTTTCGACCAGCCTTGTTTCTCGACGGTAGGATTCACAACCGGTATAAACAGCTGTAGCAGTAACATGGCTGGTGAGCGCGCAATCAGGACGAGCTTAAACAATTTACTTGATTTCTTCCAATCTTCTTCGCTGATCGGATTGATATCGTACAAAAATTCTCTGAAAAGTTCTTTCGGACGGTCGGAAACGTACTCACTAATTTCCGGACTTAACTGGACGGAAGCACCCCGTATCTTGGCTCTCTGCAGCTCCGCGGCGATTGCGATATCTACCAAACACAAATATATAGAAATATCGGACGCGAGTCGTGTGAAAATTTCAAAGCCAAAGTACATTAAACCTCAACTTTTAAACATATAAAATGTAGAATAAATATTAGAGATTCATTCCATTTTCATATTTGAGAAACATTTATTACGCTTATTTACGATCGCAAATTACTAAACGCGTAAACATCTGTGACGAAAGAAATTATCAAATAACTGACAACGTATTATATTGTATATACAATATATTTGCGAGTTCGCACTGCGAAAACAATACTTTCGCGTGGCGAAAAAAATGGCATCGTTCCGGAGGAAAATTCGATCTATTGAAAAATTCAAAAGCTAAAGACAAGGATATGCGCGATGAGTCGTAAAAACGACGTTTGGTACCTAGCTTGGCATGTAAGCCAAAAGGTCGGCTTCTAGCGGGAATCTTGGGAATGGCGCCTGTGTCTCTGTTCGCCAAGTAAGTATGCAGGACGTCTGGATCGGGCACACTTGGGATCCTGACTGAAAGTACATAAGAATGTTCTCGGGAAAGGGGATCGATACTTAGTATGGTGAAAATTTTCTGTAGGCGATAAGGAAGGAGCTAGTCATCTTTTTCACATCGCAAGCGAATTCATGGGTTATGAAGAGAGATATTTCCCGTTTCGGAATAGAAATAGTTCCCGAATGCACACTGATCATAAAATTTCGGGCATAGAGATATCTCGGGAATATATCTTTCCCGCGTAATTTAGACTCACGCGGAAGCAAGTGTAAGTTTATCCACATTCGCGAGAAAAACATTGTTCATTCGAACTTGTGTGCTTTTTGAAAGTTATGGGCTTCCGAAGTTCTACTGTCACTGTGTCTAAGATAAATACTAAAAGCCCCTTGCGTGATTCGTGATATTCATCGAAGGATCCACAACGTACTTTTCAGAGTCTCCTCTCTGGTGTCGTACACCTGCATTATCACAACCGCCATAATGAACAGTATGTAGACCAGAATAAAGCCTGCAATTAAAATGTATCAGCATTAAGAAGCATTAATGTCGCTTGGCTCGCAGGGTTATTTCTCTACACATACCGCTGGAATAACGAATGGTCTGCGTAATATTACGCCAAAAAAAAACTTGATAACCGCCTTTTTTTCTTAATTAAGGGAAAAAAATCTTAATTGCCACTTTTTTTAATATACTAACGCAAAGAAATAATGCTGGGGTTGGAATCCATTTTAGGAAAATAGATACACACACCTACACTTGAATACTCTTGAACAATAATAAATGGAACTAAGGAATAATGTAATGCAATTTAAAACTACGATGGCCGAAACTGTTTGAGAAGCACTGATTTAGATGAATAAAAATCGAATTTCTGTCTGTTTGTCTGTTTACTGCCGCGTCGCGAGGTCTGAAAACGATGAATCGTGATATTCAACGGCTTTATGCGTGGTTTAATAATAGCTCCTGTCTATGCCGCTTTGTTCTCGGGCGCAAGATTATTTCCACGGACTTTATCCACTGCAACAATAATCCCTGTTTTCCCGGTGAAACGAATTCCTTGCCGTGGAATCCCGCAAAAATTCATCGACAGTCAGATTGCAAGCCCAGCCAGGCAGATGGTGGAGAGGGACTGCAGCGTAGCTTAATTAAATTCGTCGAAGAATTATCGTTATTTCAGACCGAAACCACTTATGGTTTTCTGCAGACAAACTTTTCCGCTCATGACGTAACTGATTCGGCGCGCGGAATATCAATAAGTGTTTTTCAAGTAGCATTCCATAATTATCCCGAAGCCTACCATCAAATCAATATCGCAGTCCCATCACTTTGCACAGTATTTAATTATGCATCCTAATGTTTAATATATCAAACATCTAATAATTCAGTACATAAATGGTAATATATGCATAATTTTTTCAATTATCTATTAATAGTTTGCAGGTATTAGCTTAGAGTTTATGGAAGCTATTACCAACGTGAGTCAATCATCTGTTCAGTTGACATAGGATGGAACGGTCGAGATCATACATTTGTTATATTTAGGTATTCATGCATAAATCATTGATATTAGCATTCAAGTAATAATAATTAATCGGACGAATAATAATTAATCATTCTCCATATCTTCTCTTGTATGAGAAAATTATCGATGGCTATTTGATAACAATATGAACAGAAAACTATCGTAATCTTCTTCTCGCGATATCTCCTTCGCGTGACTTTTCCGCAATGACCGCGCTTGTTACCATAAGCCAATAGTTATAGAAATCGATGAGAATGACGAAGGAAGAAAAATAATTTATGTTTGTTTTTATTCTATTCATGAATGTGCATGAATGATATGATCGATCATCGAAATGGCAAATATAGAATCGTAGCATATGGTACGGGCGGGAAAGAGTCGACCAATATTAGCTTATCGGATTCAAATAAAGATAGCAGACGTACTTATGGCCTCCCAGAGGTAAACCATCTCGTCCCACACTACGTAGTTTATCCAGCATACGGAAATGATATAAAAACAGGCGTCCCTCATGAGGGACCTCAGGGAAACTTTAAAGGGCTTAGTTATCGCGACGGAGCCGGCAATCATCGAGGTCACGAAGACACCTGCGCCGATTAATTCGGTGAACATTATTATCGCTTCGTCGCCTCTCGACACAAGGGACGTGAAGATGTCAGGCGCGCCGTTTCCGAATGCCAATATCGTCACTCCTGCTATGCTATCCGATAGATGCATTACACTGGCCATTACTGCCAATGCTGGGCAAAAACTGGAATGAAAATCGCCGCAATGAATCATCGATGGCAACTATCTACGTCTAGAGTATTTCGGTATTTATGTCGTGATGAAGAATTCATTCATATCGACATAGCCAAAAGTGTTTTCGAACGCTCGAATTAGATCTTTCATTTAAATATTGAAACGAATCTTCCGTGTCCGTAATTATGACGTATTTCTTTTATAAACTTTTTCCATAATGTATGATTTATCGGGTTGTTAAATTTCACGCTGCGTGTACAGTTTTACTCATTAATGCCTGGACCTCAGTTTTACTGGGATTCACATTTTCATAATCTTTATTCCTATCTCTATCGATGAGCTTCAGGCTGTAGTTCGTACAGACTTCTATAGGACATTTACTTTTTTTTCCGAAATATTTTGCCGTATAACTTATTACAAAATTATATTTCGTCAAAATGTACACGTGTGTATATTTAAACAGCGATTTTCACGTTTAGAATAATGATAAGTATATGTATAACGGCTCTATCAATAATGGATAATTTTTAATGAAACATACGCGAGGCACTTGACGTGGAAAGGAAGTGACTTTTGGATAACTTTCGTTTGAAATGCACATTCAACTAACCTCGTATACATTTAGCATTTCGCTATTTCACCGCACGCAGAGAGTGTGTTATTTACAAGAAAGTAAATTTACCCTCTTAACTGAGTTTTAACTATTATACTGGTTACACATCAAAGCTGAACTCCGACAAACTTGGTAATATAAGCGCCGTCATATTTCTACTATTAAACGCAGCGAAACAAATCCTACGGAAACCTCAGCGATCTTTAAAGATTTCAGAAATTTAGAAGATGTTTGCCGACGTAACAGCGACCGAAGTATCGAATATATATTTGTGTTTTACACTTTAGTAAATAGCGTTGTAAATTCATAGCTTGCATTTTGCATTACGCAATGTGTGTTGGCCTCGCTATCAGCATATTATTATGGTGAATTCTGGTGACTTTACATGAGTCAACTTCAAATGAATTAAAAGATATATCGAGATAATATTGATTTGTGACAATACCGTTACTTAAATATTTAAGTGCGACTCCAAGTAACCCTGGTTTTCGAGATTCCGAAACTTTGTTATTGGATGTGCTCCTACAAACATGGCAATCCGCCATTTTTCCCTGATATTTGTGTAACTCGAAAGAATACAGAAACCTTCGTTTATCACTTGGAAAGAAACCGCTTCATAGAACGTAGACGGTTGAAATACGGGGAAGCATGAATCTTTCGGTTATTGGCTTGGTTAGTTGCCAAAAAGTCAAAATTCATTGTAGTTACGTAATCATCTCTATTCTGTAGATGGTAACACGTTTTCATCGGGATTGAACTTAGCCAAAGTTCTTAATTTCGGTTACTCAGAAAAGGTGTGGTTTCATCGTTACTCGCGTTTATGTCGTGCTCTCACAATTTGCATTCAATTTCAGCATTATTTGACAGATATAACAAGAACACTTTTACAATTATATTTAAATATCTTATGTTTATTTATCACTTTGCTTACTTATTTTTAATTATTTTATTTCTTATAAAAATTGGAATAAGTACCCACATAACATCGGATGTCTTATGTATACACAGTTGGAAAATTTGTTTTCTTGTTAAAAAAATGCCGGTTAAAATTTTTGTGTTAAATGTTTAACATATTCATGTGTTAATTGACCTCAAATATTAAATTATTAAAATAAGTGAAAATAAATGTTAAGCAACACAATGTGTACTTATTTTTTAATCTTACACAATACATATGTTCTATATTATTAATAACAAGATTTATCTGTTAAAATTTACAGAATAAAATGTCGATTTTATTCTGTAAAATGTAAAAATGACATTTTAAAAAATTCATTTTGTCATTAAAAATATGTTAATTTTGCAGAAAATTTGTTTTAAATTATTTTGAGATTTGCATTTATTTTGTGTTAAAATATTTACAGAGTATTAGTGTGATTATTTAACATATCCATATTATGTTATATTAACACAAAAATTTGTGTGGATCGTTTGGGACATGTGATATCCGTTAACACAAATTTTTTAACTGTGTATACATTCTTCCTCCATGACATAAAAAAAATATCCCGTATGTGAAACGTATATACATCTCATATACATAATTTGGACATACATTGCAGTACAAAATATACATAAAATTCACGGATGGATTCAATGTGTACAATATCCATCAGATATCTATAATCTGTATATTCTTTGCGGTATGTAGCATGTACGTGTAAATATATACATCTAATAAATCACAATTTCATACATAAATTATTATACAAGACACGTAAGCATTAATTGGACATATCACGTTTAAACTTTCATACAATTCTGTCCAAATCTATTAAGATAAAAAAAATGTGCGCGATAAAATTTTATTCTAAATCTAAAGAATATAAAATGCAACTGAAACAATGTATGTATGTGTGTATGTACATTGAAGATCCGAAGTACATACATCATGTGTATGTACACGAGTAGCACATATTATGTACATATGTACATGACATACCTTTATTTCATGTTCATTTCATATGTGCATATACATTGCACATGGAATGTACATTGCTGGATATACAAATGTACGTATTATGTATATTATATGCATGTGTATGTACAAATTATGTACATCCTACGTCTGTACATGTATATCTTGTGTATGTACATATACTACATGCATCTGTAATGGATAACAAATCAATATACGTCGTGTATATACATAAAATGTGTAAATTATGTACATATGTACATATCCAGGACTTCCTATATACATTATTCCGGTAGCAGTTGCACATACATTTGACATCCAATGTATGTACTGCGTGCTAAAAATTCATATACACCGTATATCAAAATGTTTCGTGGGTAATATAGGCAAATTTTATCGCGCGGTAACAATACTTTTTGTTAATCAATAATCTGCAAGTATATGGCGAATACTAGGGTAAATCAACTTACAAATTATCCGCTGTGGTGCCTAAAATCAAGAACAAGTAGAGTAGCCAGAAGAGCACGAGGGCCAAACCGCTAGCAAACAGCACCACGTCTTCGGATCTGAAGTAGCAGAATAACAGTACTGTGTACTGAATCACCGAGTCTGAATAGCAGTCTTCGGTGTTCCTCACCCACTCGCAACGTTCCGCGGCGGGAACTTGCCAAACGTACGAGCAATCATCCTGAAAAAAAGATTCGACGAGGAGCTCGAAGGAAACGCAAACTGGAAGAGACGTCGATAACAATTCACCTCCCGTATGGGCAGATGCCCGTGTCTTAAAAAAGGGCTCGATATTTGCGACCTCATGTTCGAAGAGCATAAAAGCGCAACGGAGCGATATGTAACCTATATTTTGTGTATTTGCCTTTCACGGATCCGCTCGATCGTTGCCTATTCAAGCAGAAGCGAGCGAAACTTCAAGCGATATAGACAGAAAGCTGTCACATACGTAGCGCGTACTATGCGCTCAGTTCGAAACGTAAATTCAATATGAAGCACACATAAAGGGAATTTGTAACAATGACACACACGCACACGCAAAATGGGACGGTCTGTGTATCGATCAATGCAAGAAAATGTAATGAACGTCATAATAATCTGAGACACCGTTTAATCTAAGACGTTGCTTCTTCTGGTGTTGTTTGTAAGGCGGTATTATGTATCATAGCGCCAATTAAAATTGACTCGTACAAATCTGACGGTTCCAAAAACATTCGTAAATCAAGCTTCAGTTGCAATTAGACAGAAACGTCGGCGACGTAACGTGTATTTTTACGTGGGACAAAATATGACGTGCAGTCGTCGGTTTCTCTTGACAACAGCAGTGCGCGCGCTCAAGAATGTCGCTACTCGACGACGGCGTGAGACTGAACAGGTATACTCATCCGCACTCATCTGATAGCAACGAGGAGCTCATTAGATGCGGAGCATCCGTTCTGCCGTTTCGTTCCATTTCTGCCCGCGATGAAAAAAAAAGAAGAAAGAAACGCCATGTAACGAGCACGGAAGGAAACCTCCCCGCAAACGGATACTCTGTCATTCAGCGTGCGATATTATATCGACACTTATTCGATACTATTGTCAGCTTCACGGAAAATTCAATGACGTGTCGCAGGCCGGCAACGTCAGTTCATTAGATTTTGCTATGAGCAATCAAGAACTTTCACAGTTGCTATCAGTTTTGCGCAAAAATACTCAAACGCAGGGATCAATGCGAAAGCTGTTTCTCTCAAAATGCCTGTTAAGGATAATTCACGAGCGAGAAACTGATACTGTTATTGTACGTACAATATTGTACCTTCTCGATGTTTGAAACGTGCGTGCGGTACATGCATCATTAAAATATATTAATGATCGGAAACACGCTGGTAATTTTGGGTTTTCCAATGTTCGATCGAACATTCTTCGCCAGGTTTTAACTAAACTTGTATTATGTGTGCTACTAAAACAGACATTAAAGCAGACAAGTATTAAAATAATTACTTAAAGTTCATCATTTTAAATATGACTAAAGACCGGATAATAGAGACTTAAGTCATTCAAATTGAAAATAGTGCTGCGTCAGGCACGCGCTTTTCGTGTTAGTGCCTGTAAATTACAACTAGTATTTAGCATCAACGAGAAACCTTAGCTTTATAAATCTAGCTTAGCAGATATACATAACTAGTTTGCGAGAACGATAAATCAACTGGGTTGGACAGGTCTCGAATAGTGTAATGAGAATTATAATAAATTGAGTTTACAAGGGATTTGTTGTTTTAGCGTAAAACTATAGAAGTTAGTCTGGCGAGCACTTGACCGCGCAAATTACCCTGGGAAAAAAATCATAGAGGGTCTCACGCTGACGTCTCTCTATCAGTCTATCTCCTATTGTTGCCTACTTCCTAACAACTTTCCATTAAGCCCACCTTTCAGCAGCAGCGTACTTCACCGTAATTGCCAACTTCAGCAAATTGTCATTTATCGCCAGACTTCTTTTGTGCTGCTTTCGCTCTAAACACTTTATTGAATTGCATTCACAGAGGGCACAAAGGAGCCAGCGGCTTTACCCCAATTTATACTGCGCTTTTATTCTCCCTACGAGAGCCAAGCGCGCTCGCTTGGCTTTTCCGGTTTCCTGTTTTGGCTCTCCGTGCCGCCTGCACATTTATAATAAAGCGCGTGAGTGATATAAGGCTGGAATATGCAAAAGCTTCTTTCCGTAGTATAAGATGACTCTTACAATTAATGTAACGGTGTGCCGCCATTGTATCGCTGAAACCGAGTATGTGCGAGTGTATGCACACACTCGGTTATGCTCGAGCCGTTTGCCGTGTGCTTTGGAGAATAATTCATACCAGAGATAAAACAAAGGCTCGTTGTAAATGTTAAAATAACGATGCAATTTATCTCAATTGAATCGGCTGCTATAAAAAAAAGACAGTGACGAATCTTTTTCCATGGACCCCACGTTCCTCATTTTCGACGAGTCCATTTTTAATACAAAAGGAAAAATGGTATTGTGCAAATTTATTTAATTATCGTGCTAAACACATCTGTCTAAAACCTCACATCGTACGGTTACGTAGTCACGCCAGCAAATACAATAGCATGATGGTTTGTTTAATAATATTTGCGTGCAAAAGAATGAATAAATCGCATTCTGATATTTTTGTCAGTTGCACTATTCCGCTTCACTCGGGGCGGTTATACATCCGCGATAAAAGCGATGGATACATCGCGAATGCACAGGTCGGATCAGAAAAACTCAACTGATAGCTTGAACAAATACAGTTTAATAATGTGAAATGTTCCGCGCTTCCTTATGCGGATGTAATAAGTTGAAATCATGGTTTTTGTAAGATATAATTCATTCGCAATGATTACAAGTAAATATAGAATTTCATTAATTGCATCTTACAGAGATGAAGCAGATTGAAGTCCTTTGTACTTAAAATTTGTAGAAATTTAATTTCATCGTCATCGTCTTTCCACTGTGTAAAAAGCCGCGTCTCAGCTGTCTTTAGTCTTTGTCGAGCTATGTTAAGCTATATCAGGATTTCTAGTAACGAGGAAGAGGTTCAATTAATCCGAGATTACGGTCGTTCACCTGACAATTACCGACAGACTTCCAATAACTTGTTGCAACAGATGCTTGATAGGTTCTGCCTACTCATTGAAGCAGATGGTCTCGATAGGTGTCTGTGGTGTCGATAACTTTTTCGCCTCTTTTACAAATTATTAGGGTTTTCAACACTTCAAACGAGTTAATCGATATGCATAGAACGCACCAAACATAATATAAAATTGGAGTATTTTTTTAATGATTTATTAAAGTTTTAAATATTTTATTATCCTTCAAATTTAACAAGAGTCTTTGCATTGAAAACAAGCCTTTGGTGCTATTTCCGCGTAACTGTAAAATATGCAAACTGAACAATATTAATGGCAAGTAAAGATAAAAGTATGTATACTCCTTGTTTAATCTTTAGAGATCAAACTTTACCTTTTGTTTAACAATATTTCGTTTAGACTGTTCGAAAAACGCTCGTACGAGAACTGTTGCAAATCCAATTGTAGTGCCAGTCCCTTCTCCAGGCGATGTTCGAGTGTTGATCCCCTATTCCTAAAATCGACACCCCACAATAAATTGCCTCTTGTAATCCAAGTAGTCCTCCGTGATAGATTAGCAGCCGGCTATTCGGATGACCTGAACATTTTTACGATAAAAGGCTATTTATTATCTTTGTTGCGGTATACATTTACACCCAATTACGAGGAAGTTGCAAACAGAGATTGAATGTGACTGTTAACTTTTAAAAATGAGAACTTGCACGTTTTTAGCTCTTGAAGCCTTTTTTATGACTTTCCTTTTATCTGAATTTGAGTTTTGTTCATATTCATTTTTGCCCCCTCTAAATGAAACTTCACGGTTAATGTTATAACTAATTAAAAATTTTAATAGCTTTCTTCAATCCTTTATCTCAAAGCAGAGAACATTACAAGTGACAATGACTCTTGGATAGCGCATTTAAAATTTAAGCGCAAAAATGAAGCCATAATAACGGATAAAACGTCGTAATAAGGATAACGAGGTTGATTGCATAATATAGCGAAAATGGAATTCCATGAAAAGCGTTGGTCACGCGGCGGTGGTTTAGAGGAAAAACGGGCGAATACCTGAAAATAATTTGTTCCCTTCAGGTGTGTATATGCGAATGGCACCATCACAAAAAAAAAGATGAAAAAGCAAAGCGAATCACGTGTTTCTGCGCATGAATATAGATCGTACGAATTGTGCAGACGATACGTATATGCCGCGGATATAGATGCAATTATTTTTACCCGCTGCATTTCTAAAGCAATTGATTATCCGCCAAAGTATAAAACGTTGATGTACAAAAGGGTGCATGAGAAATACATTCATTCAATTGCCACTTAAAAATCACACAGTCATTAAGCGTTTTCTCCGCATTCGTAAGGGAAAATATACGTATAAATATTTACAGAATGTTTCATACGCGAGCTATGATTTTGATAAACGAGCATTGCGCTTTGTTCTCTTTTTCTGCTTTCGATTCGTCTTGTATACCTCCGCGGAGGATTTACGTCGCGTATCGTGCTAGACGCATCGTGCTACTTTAATAAGAACAAATGGTAAATTTGTAATGGACATTAAAAGCCGTTCAATATTCGTGCAAATTGACCCGCGGATTATTTAACGATAATGTAAAGTTCGAATGGATTTTATGCGATCGCCGGATAATGATATCGTAATAAATAAATGATTCGCCCAGCGGTACGGCATTATTCTCTTTGCATATAGGTGGATGTGGGGATTCGTTACCGAATACCACGCCAGCAATAGCACCATCGACGAGGGGTTGGAAAGCGATCGGGCTTACTGGAAATTTAGAATACATCGCAGAATACAGAATGCCTTGTCTGTGCGAATTAGAATAATTTTATTGCTTCTAAAAATTGTGCGACTTCTAATCAATCTATTGATTGAGATATTTATGATTATCAAAATATTGCAATGTCTGACAAGTGTCTTTATTTCGTCATTTATTTGATAATAATCAATCGCTATGGTTAAATTTATGATAACTTGTATAAGAGAACTGAATAGAGTTGTTGAAACTTAGCTCATCTTTTTATTGTAAATATAAGAAAATAATTAAAAAACCTTCAAGATTAAAGAGACGATAAACTAGATCGAGTTGCATATCTTTTGTGCTGTCTTTCAGGATGTTCCGCGCTGAAGTCAAATTCGCTTTCATCGTAATACAATCAAGAGTCAAGTTAATTGACAAAGTTCTTTGTTTTTCGCAAATTTCAGAAGAACATGATAAGAAAAGAGAACGCGATAAGAAAAGGGAACGAAATCAGAACGCTTGAAAACTCTTTCTAGCATTCAATCGACACCCATTCCATTATCAAGAACTTCCTTGGTATATGCCAGTACAGGGGGGAGGGTACTCTCTTCGTGACCTTCGCGGATAAGCTTCTTTCGACGTTTAATCCTGCGCAGAAACAAAAAAGCTATACGTACACAATACGGAGAGTTGTGGCGTCCACCCGATGCACTTAACGTTTCCCGGCAGCGGACGCATTCTCTCTTTGGCGCACGTCCACAGTATTTGCTGCGGTACTTGCTCGAATGCCCGGTAAAGGGCGGCAAACACCTGGTTCGGTATAGTGGACGTGTCTATTTGCGATCCCAGACTAAAGTAAATAACGCCGTTTCTGCTCTGAGAGTCCAGATAATCCTAGAGATCCACGGCCAGTGGCTTCGGGCCCGATATCGGAATATGAATACCTCCGATTTCCTCGCGTCAGAAGACGTGCCCGGTGCTCGCGGCCGGACGGCCGTTCGTCAGGATCAACGATATCCTAGACCGGTGAGCATCAAAGTCGGGCAAATCGTGCCCCAAGTACTTTTTCGCGATCACGTAACTCGGTCCATCGGAAAGTATCCTGCGGATTTAGGAGACCTGCGGTTAACTTTTCTACTGATAATCATCCGACATGATTGATCATATGACGTGGATTGATTTAGTAGCTAGAATCTTCTAGAATTCGCGACGCGCGTTTCGCAACGATATCATTCGTCCAGCCAGACTTATCTATATTTTTATAGGAAAGAAACACTGAAATTATGTTGAAGGCACGTCATTGTATAACAATTAAATTAAAGTAAAGTAAATTAATTCTGAAAAAACATTTCGATATTCGCAAAGTAATTATTAAAGTACCGACAAATTTCAAGCATCTATGCGGTCCATACCGTACTCACATAAATGATAACGTCGACGGACATTAATTTCTAACAGCAATTTTGGGGATACCATATATTCCGTGCATTCTGCTTCCCTACCTATAAGCCAACTTGCCGATCAGTAGACGCACAGTATTAATCGACCTCTCAAGTAAATTCATTCGCCTAATATATGAGGTGAAGATATAAGGGAGATGTAGAATTCTCAGGATTCCTTAAGATCACGTTCGACCACGGTAATCTGACGAAACTGGAAGTATCGACTTTTGATATGTTTAAAGCAGGGTTGGATATCCAAGAAGCAATTGGCGGCAAAAATCGCAATCGAGTAAGTCGAGGTGTTCCTTTGCATTAATAATCCCCTTCATTTCTGGATGATCCAGCATAGGATCGCAAAGTTTTCACGGGGGCTAGAGGGAGAAACTTTTGCCAAGTCGTGAAATTAAGGATCGAACCGAGCGTTGGTTCGATTTCGCAAAGTGGACGAAACATCCAGGTCAGTGGAATTGGCCAGGCGAATTCTCTGAGGGAAGTGCGTCACCGCGACAATCTCGTGACCTCTCGCAGAGAGTCTCTTCAGTAGCGGCTCGTACACGTCGTAGTGACTCTTCATGTGAGAAGGAAATATCGCTAGTATCCTGCCCTCCTCCCCATCGATCGTACCGAGCGACCAAACGATCAACGATGACGTAGTAATCTTCATCGTATGACGAGCATATATTAATTTAGCGGATTGGATAATTAATAATTTTTGTACAAAGATCTGTTATCCGCAACAACCAGAAAACTCTTAATTTCTGAAAAGCTTTCTGATTTGTTAATACTTTTTACACGATGATGGATTTAATTGATCCACGTCGATGCACGCCGTTGTAGTCTTGCAACAAATCGTGTCGCACTGAGGCGATAACTGCGTTCTTGCATACAATGATGCCACTTATTCGCTTATCAACTTGTGAATTGGAAGAAACAGATGAGAACTAAGCTAATGGCATTAAACTATATTATTGATTTTTTATTCATTACTTTTTAACTTTTAATATACATTTGTATACACCAACTATTGAGGTAAAATCTTTAATCTTAGTAATTAGAATTTAAGTAACAACGATTTTTGTTTCGAAACATTTTCTCGATTGAACAGAATTAATCGTTAATTTAATCAATACCAATAAGTCCGCGGAATAATACGCAAAACGTAGCAACAGTCACGGAACAAAGTAATGTAATTTTCCATTGCGTAGGCAAGCCAACAAATTATCAACGTTTTTTTGTTTCTCACTCGGCGCGGTATCGTACGACGATTAAGCGGGCCAACGAATTCTCAACGTTTTTTTGTTGTTTTTCACTCGGCGCGGTGACGTACGATGTTTTTGCGTGCCATCGTGTTCCTGAAGGTCACCGCGTTATCATTCGCCCGCCGAACGTCGAGCCGGCAGGCAGTGGCGAGAGTCGCTCCGTGCGCGTTTATTACTTTTGCGTTATCGGTTTCGAAGACTCGATCGCGACGAACGTAGGGATAAAACGCTATCGATTTGTACACCTTTAACAGTAACGAGTAACGTTCCTCGATTATTAAGTTCCTACAACTTGTAATGAGAAACGAATTGCGTGTTGAGGCGACGGCTCTTTATCAATGTACATAGGTATTTCACGAGACTAACTCATCTAAAATATGAATGCGAACCGTGGTACTTTGTCGCGGTTACATCACGTTTACGCACCGCGCTTTTAATTATCTATCGATTTCGTGTAATCCGTTCTATTTTCGGGAAAAGAGAGAAACTTGTGTGTGATTTCGGCGTTCGCGCTGTAATTCGCTCTGTCATTTTTCAATATTTCGTGCGTTTCGCGGTATCTCACATCGCGTACGGGAGTGCCCGAAATTTCGCGCGATCGATGATTTTCGCGAGTTAGTGTTGTGTGAGTGCAACAAGGAAATCTGAGAGGAGGAGCAGGCCGAGGAGGCATCGGGCAACAGCGGAGAAATCGGTGAGGTGAGTATCTTACATTTTTATGTTATTTGCTACTTGTGCAAAATAAAGCATCTGTTCTGTGTTTTTATTTTATTTATTCAAATGATTCGAACGAGGATTCGAATAAGTGTTAGAGACAAAATCATACGTATAAAATTTTGTGAGTTTATATTTAAAAGGAAGACTTTTTCAGTATTCTATATAATTATTTTAATAAATACCTATTTTTTTAAATATAAAATATAAAGTATATGTAATACAGTCATTTCGATTTTATATAATTAGTCTGTGTAATAATCATATACATATTTGTATTTGTACAGTTTAACATACACAGTTGACGATGTACATTGTACAACTCTGCTGTTGCGTATCAGTGAGTGACAAATTATTTTTTATTTTAAAGTGACGTTGCTCATACAATTACTTCTTTATATGTATACAAATTCTTAAAAATATACAATGCTGGACCACAAACTGTGCGCGCGAAGCGCGAGTTTTGTCATTTCTAGTACTTTTTAAATAATAAGCGATTATATTTCACAATTGATGCCTGAGATTCGCGTGCTCAGGCACGGCGAAATGGCAAGTGATAAAATTGTTCCTATGAATGTCGCCCTTTTTATGAATTTTGCTTATCGCATAAATTTTAATAACATCGTCGCTATACGCTTCCCCGCTTCTCTACGCATTGCATTAGTATCTTCTCTTCGCGAATAACGGATGCATGAGCTTAACACATCTTAAAAATAATTCAAGTAAAAATTCGCAATATATTGTAACTTCAAAAAAGGCTACATTTATAGAAAAACGCGATTTCGAAACAGCCAACCAACCAATCGGCATCGCGGAAAAACGGCAACAATACCGCGCGACCAAGCGCGCACTTCGCGATCAAAATGACTTCATTAGGGATTAATTAAGAAATACTTATGCATTTATTAATATCTGTGTTATAATGTAACATGATATATTTTAAATAGTACCATTTTATATGGCAATTCTTCCATAACTGTACAATTCATCCGTGTTCTCTTCAATCTAAAAGTAAATTTTAATTATTTTATATTTTGCATAATATTGTAATATTAATGTTGCTCTTAACATTATTATTTAACATTATTATTTTAACGATAATATTAATAATAGATTTTTAAATAATTTTAAACACTAAACTGAAATTGACTATTGTCTCTTCCAAATGAATTTTACATAATTAACATATTTTTGCAATTATAAAGAATAATGGCAATATTAATAATAGATTTTTACATAATTTTAAACTAAATTGAAATTGACTATTGTCTCTTCCAAATGAAATTGAGAAGGTGTGTTACAAACATTGAGCACAAGATTAAAGTGGTTCATTTATTAAGAAATGCATCGCCGAGAGAACGAGAACGGCGAAGAGAAAGGGTCGGAACAAAGGAACTAAAAGGCGAATAAAAGAAAGATTTCAGCATTTATACTATTCATTCATCCGAAAGGATGGTCCTAAGTGCGCTTTCGCTCTTTAATCCGATTGGAAAATCTATCGATTTCAAATCGTACGTACTATCGTTTGTATCAATCCATCGGAGATGCTATTTCTTGCTATTTGTCGAATTATTTAGAACGTTTTTCGCAATATTGAATAACGACAAAGTGAACACGTGCGTTTCTCGACGATTTAAATTGCACAGAATTAAATGCAATGTGTCTCAGAATGAAATGTTAGTAGAATTACGAATATTCATGTTTATTTATGTATACAAAGCTATTGCCTTTGCTAATTTCTTGCAATTTCATTTGCTATTTAGTTAAACATTTCTAAAGCTTTAACGTTACATCAACATTTCAAGGAAAATTGAATGTTGTTTTCACAATATCTAGTGATTTTTTATTTAACTCTTTATACGTCAAACATTTCTACAAAAGAAAGAAGAATGATTTCTTAATATTCGTACTTATCGCAATACTTTCAAATTAAGATTAAACACTTTGTAGGAATATTTAAAAAATAACGCGTTGTATCGCTCTTACAATTCGTACATTTCTTGCTATAGGAGCAAAATTGAAAATTAATTTAGAAAAAATCGATCGTATTTGCAAAGACTGATTTCAATTCTGTGTATTAAATGGAAATTCGCAAAATATAAATTAAGTGATCAATAAGAAATAATTTCGAGACTGAGAACGGAGATGCAATATATTTTTCTTTTCTGCTGTACATTTAATTTAACTCGCTTATTTTAGAATGCACATACTGTATATTAATGTACATTTATTGCAAAGGTATTTTGTGTTATAAAAGAGCCAGTACCGAACACAGAGTAATCACGACTATAATGCACAAAGTGGAATGGTATTTTGCTGATTTTCATTTATACACGCAATTTTTCGCATTGTACTGGTACTCATTGTTTCCGCACATTGCGATGCGGAATATTAAAAAATGTCAGAAATACCGCGAAGTCCATCAATGTATAATTTTATAAATTGCACAAAGTTAAAGTACGGAAAGTAATAAAAACAATCTGACAGAAATTCTTTTCCGTTTGAAGTTTCGCTTCACATCGCGATATCCATCAGTCTAACTATTTGAATAATGATTGCTTTATATAAGTATACAGCAGTTAGAATTAAGGATAAAACACATTAATTCGAATCATTATTCGAAGTGATTTCTTTCCTGAGCACACTCGATCCAACATTTTCTACCAGAAACATGCATGTCATTTAGAATTTTTATTATTTTTAAAATTTTTTCAGTTTTGTCTATGAAAAGAGGTTGCTCTTATTTGATATATTAACATAGTAAAGTTCTGAAATTAAATTTTAGAACGAAATTTAGAAAGGTACGCTACACTTGCGTGGTAATATAAATTTTTTTATTGCACTTTGCCTCTTTTCCCAATAATTCTGCCTGTACGTATTTCATTCTTAATACAATTTTTTTGAAATGTTTTCTGAATGGGAAGCTGAGGGAAAAATTCTATACAGTTACATATATAGTATGTATGTAACGCATTTCTTTCTTATTTTCCTAAATATCTAACGAGAAGGACTTGGATTAAATAGCTGTATAGAGTTGATTATTCGATCCGATCGTAAGACAGATAATCATGCTAGTACAACAGCCGCGCGTTAAACTCGTTATTGCAACCAGAGGAGGGCTTAAGTAAAGCCACGCTAGCGCGTTCAACTTTGCGAAATGATATAACTTAGCTCCTTGTAACGCCAGTACAGGTGTATCTAACCTCGATGCTCGTCTTTATTTGCTTCCAACGTGTTCGGATATTCTCTCTCTCTCTCCCTCTCCCCCTCTCTTTTTCTCTCCCTCTTTTTCTTTCTCTCTCTCTCTCTCTCTGTACTAACTATGGCTATACCATACTACTGAAACCTACTACCCGCAGATTACGATCCGTATTCGAAAATCCTACGTGTTCATTCAAGTTGCTATGCGGAGGATCGCTAAGCCGCTCGCTCCGGATTTTCCGAAAATTCGAACTGAAGCAGCACGGACGAAAGTAAGATCTCGACAGAAAATACAAAGATTTTTCGACATAATAGATAGTTAAGGAGTTTTTCCAATAAAAAATAGATTTATACTTGCTTCTCTTTAGACATTTTTATCTTTTTACAGAATGCAATCCCGTTATTCGATAAAAAAAGAATTAATAACTCTGCCGAATGCGTTCTTTTTACAATTTTAATTAAATTACTGTTAAAGTCACGCACGGTGAAA